CCCCCCCCCCCCCCCCCAAACAAAAACAAAACCTGGGGGGTTCATGAGGGAGGGCCACCGCCACACCAGCTCAGGCTCAAACGGGGCTCTGCGTGTTGTGGGAACCCAGCGGCCTCTGTTTTTCCCTGGAAGAAGAGGAAGACCCCCCCCCCCAAGGACTAGGGCTGCCCAGCCAGAGGTGGCCTGTTGGACAGAGCAGGGGAGGGGAGGGAAAGGCGGGCACTTCCCTTGGCTGGCCTCCAGCAGGCAGTTCCTGGGGGACATCAAGTGAGCAAGGTGGCACACGTGGCTGCAAACTGGGGGCCCCTGTGGTCGGGGATTGCCAGGGAAAGTCCACCAGGCCTCTTCACTGGTGGCTCTGCGGCTGTACTGCCCCCACAGCCCCTCTTCCTATGCCACCTGTGGGGCTGGAAGGCGACAGCACTCCCAGAGGGGAGTGCCCTCCTGCAGGCTGACAGGCCAGCCCTTGGGCTGCTTTGGGCCCGGAGTGCTGGACCCTGAAATAAACAGTATATGCTGGTGTGCGTGTGTTCCCATGAGGCCGGCAGAAAGAGCTCTGTAAGGCAAGCAGCAGCAGAGGCAGGGTGAGCTGGGCCTGGAAGCCCCATCCGTGCATCCTGATGAGCATCAGTGTTCAAGGGGGGCCCGTCGCTTTGGATCTACTTTGGGCTCTGCTGCAGCCCCCCTCCCATTTTGCCGCTCTTCCAAGAAAGAAAACATGGAAGTGGAAGCATCCTGACCCACTGAAAGCCCTGGGTTGTGTTCTGCAAGAGGCGTTCCCTGGCTTCTGAAGCAGACGGGAACCGTGCCCTGGCCCCAAAGGCTAGCGGGGGGTTCCAGGTGCCCGACCACCCCAGGACCCTGCGGATCAGGGGAGGGCAGCCGTTCCATGTGGGCAGGGGGTTGCAGCCAGGCGTGGGGTCACGGGGCGGGGTGGAGCTGGCCAAAGAGTGCTCCTCTCTTCCATACCAGTTGTGAGTGATCCCTGCCTGAAGTTGACAGAGGGAAGAGCTGAACAGGCATAGGAAAGTCACAGCAATGGCATTCATGCAACACACTTAACCTGGTTCCATTTCACTGAAAAATCAAGGAAACAAACCCAGATGGGGCTCCCAGGACTGCAAAGCTACAGGAAAGATTTGCAAGGTTAACATCAGGGCAGGTGGATGTGCTCGACATGACCTGGCTGTGTGAGCACCGTCGCTGAGAAGGCCCTGAGAAACACCAGGCTAGGCAGGTGACACGGAAGTGGGTGGCCCTCTGCAGAGGGGGCTGCCCCATGCAAGCACCTCTTAGACCTGGGGCCCTTCCAGGTAGAGGAAGGCTGTTCTCTTCCTGGGGCTCGGAGGGCCAGCCACCTGCCCCTCTGGGGTCCTGAGGGCTCTGGGACTTGGGGAGCTGGGGGGCACTGCTGGGGATTTCTGTGTACCTGGCAAGCCTGGTGCCTTCTCTATGGAGGGGGGCTACCCAAAGGCTGTGCGGCTGCCCCCAAGGTGCCCGGCTATGATTGGAGGCAAGGGCAAGGGTGTTTCTTCCCCTCCCCACCACTGGGGCCTCGGCCCCACAGGGAGGCTCCATGGCTGCTGTTGTTGACTCAGAGGCCAGTGCCCGCCCTGCTCCGCTCCCAAGGCTGCCAGCCTTTGCCCTGAATCGCCGGGCCTCGAAAGCAAAGTCCTGCAGCTCATTCTGCCCAGCGGGTCACTGACTCGGCCCCTCTTGACCAAGCGCTGCTGCTGGAGCCGGGGGACCCGGGGCCTTCCTTGGGCGCCTGGTCGCACAGAAGGTAAGCGCCTGTGGGGTGAGCGTCTGGGGCACCAGGGACTGGGCTGTGCCTTATGGCGGCGTTCTCGGACCTGCCACGCGGGGGTGGGGGTGGGGGTGCTCCTGGCCTCTGCTGCTGAGGATCGGCAGCCCCATTTCCGGCATTCCAAGGTGGGAGACCTCAGGACGGAGTAAGGGGATCCCTAAAAGAGCAGCGTCAGCAAGGCTGAAAGAAAAAGAGCGCACACGCGCGCCAGGGAAAAAATTAAAACCGCAGCTTGTCTTGGGTGCCGCTGAGCCACACTCATTGTGTGTTGTTGTCTCAGCCTCGACCAACATTGTGCAACTTCCAGTCACCCCTGTCATTTTGCCTCCCCCATGTCCTAAGTCCTCTGCAGGGGATCCAGCCCCAAACTCTGCATCTGTTTCTGGGGAAAGGCCACCATGGGTCAGGAACCCCTGTCTGGATGCTGAGCTACTGGGAAAGGGGCGGCAGCCAAAAGCATCCTTTGCTTGCTCTTTGCTCAGCGCAGAGAGGAACATTTCCAGAGATGGGTTTTGGCACGGAGGCCCACAGCAAATGGAGAAATGGCGTCATTATACCCGAGGCATACTGATTACATGGAAGTCTGCAAAAAGATGAGATTACGCTCAAGGGCTTAATGCAGCGTTTCTCAACCTTGGCGGCTGGAAGATGGGTGGACTTCAACTCCCAGAATTCCCCAGCCAGCACGCTGGGAGTTGAAGTCCACCCATCTTCCAGCCGCCAAGGTTGAGAAACATTGGTTTAATGAGTCAGACAGTGCCTAAATCTAAATAAATAAATATCATGAAGGGACTTAAAGGTCATCTAGATCAATTGCTTGCTCTGTGTAGGACCCACCGGAGCACCTCTGACGGGGGGCTATCCAGCTGCTGGAGTCTTCCAGCAGAGAACTCCCCACATCCTGTGGCAACCTGTTCCACTGGCTGTGGCTGGTCCAGCCTGCATCTCCTTCCTTGTCATTTTAACCCACTGGTCCTGCCCTGCCCTTTGCAGCAATGGGGCGTAAGCCCACTCCCTTCAGGGGCTTGAAGGCTGCGGTCACATCTCCCACAGGCCTTCTCTTCTGCAGTTTT